TCGACTCTTCCTTCTGTTGCTTCACGGTAAACAGGTAGGTGGCCGGCTTCCTATGCCTCTGACCTACAATGAAGTGGCTACAAACTGCTTACTCAGTTCTTCGAAGATATTGATGGTTCCTGTCTTCAGCTTGTTGAACCAAATTCTTGTTGATCCCTTAAGTGTAGTGGAAAAAGCTCGGCACATGATTTCATCTGGCACGGCGTGTAGATGCATAAGAGCTTGAAAGGTTTCCAGGTGATCGAGGGGATCTTTGGTCCCATCGAAGCTTTCGAACGAGGGCATCCTGAACTTGCTAGGCAGTGGACATTTCATACAGCGGGGCTGAACGGCAAGTTAGTCTTTTTGCACCAGGTCATTTATGGCGATAGGACATTTCCCTTTCATAGCCTGCATTACATCCTCCATTTTCGCCTTGAGATCCTCGATCTATAGGTCGAAATAGGTAACTTTCTTTGTCTTTTCCTTAACACAGAAGGTTGTACTTGTTTGAGACTGGGAATTCCGCGGAAGCGGGGAAGAAGGTTCTCTATGTCGGTTTCTGACTTGGCTTTGTTCTGCCTCGGACTTGTGAGAATGATTGTTTTCTCGATCCTCCTCGTGTTGTTCCCTATCATTCAAATTGGGAGGATATGTGTCAGCTAATTCTTGTTGAGGCGGTGGTCCCGCTGGAATAAGATGTTGCAGGATCTTTGCATTTTGTTGGATCAACTGATCCATACCCTGATTCAGAGTTTGGACTTGTAGTTTTAACATTGCAAGTCATTCCTAGTCATTCGGGACATCTGGGTGTTCACCCGACCCTTTTCTTTGATTATATCCCTGCAACGACGTTTCTGTTCTAGTTACCATACCGGACCGCAAGTGCATATACCCAACCGAGTAATTGATTTAAAGGAATCATCGTTCCCACAGATGGCGCCAAATGTTGGGGGAGAAATCCACGCGGTCCGATATGGCACCGTTTTCCTACAAAGAAAAGTGTAGAATATCTATGAAGCTTGACGACACTGGTGTGGTGCTTGCCAAGAGCTCTCCGACGATCAAGTCAGTCACTGGAGGTCTAAAAGAAAGACATGGATTTAATAATCATTTTTTTGTCGTACTTTTATTGACTGGTAGGATCTCATTCTTATACCCGCTTTCCCTTAGTTCATTTGCGAGATTAGAGGAGATCCGTTTGTGCGAGATCAAAGGAGATCGTTTATTGCCAGATTTGTCGGGATATGATTTACTCCTTTAACTTTCTCAAATTGTGCCAAGGTTATTCTTACCCTGTTGAACCACGTTGTCTTTCATTATCCTAAATAAGAAATGTCGTCATTCTTATCCGATGAAAATCTTTATCTTTGATAACGAAATATTATCGTTCAAAAGTCTAAGAGGTCTGGCGGCTAGTCAAAGTAGGTTAGGTTTATTTTTCCTTATCAGCAACTAACAAGATGGGATTGCGTTGAGCACAGGACAGTCGACAATGAAAAATAGGGGTAACAAAGAAAAAGGTGACGCGTGCGCGTGTGAGAAACGCGTTGCATGATGGAGCTCGGCAAGGAACGACAGCAGCTAACGAGCAAGGATGTTGGCAGCGGATCAAATTTCGGGCAAGGAATTCCAGTGGTTGGCATGAGGTGTTGCCGACAGTTTAAGAGATGAGAGTGTGGCTAGTTGGTGAATCCGGTGAAAGAGATCGTCGGACTCATTTGGACATTTAACTGGCATGTGTACTAGGCAGCGGTTTAGACCGTCATCTGCGGTGATGGAGAGGTTAGCGTTGTCGGACTCATCTGGAGGGAGAATGGAGAGTCTGAAAGAGATGAAGGATTTTCCGCCGCAGGAGAGAGAAGGGAAAAAGATAAGAGGATTGAAAGAGAGATGATAGAGAGTAAAATTGTGTAAAAAAAGGAAAAAGGTCCCATTGCCTAGTTGTACCAATCTAGGCTTGATTTGTCGGTTTTTTTCAGGTGAGTAGTGGTCGGCAAAATTAGCATTTTCCTAGATAATATCAATAGAAGTGTTTTAAAAAATATATTACTAAATAAATTAATTTTGAAAAGTACTTATTATAATGTATCACCAAACAAATATAGTAGTAGCAATTTGTCCAAATGAACGTGATATTGCCCTCTTCTCTTGTATACTTGCAACAAAGGTCTCAAATGGCATCAATGCATAACATTATTTTATAATACCATATCATCCCTTTATAGTATAAATTAGATACGTTCTGCAAAATGCACCAAAGAAATTCCACTATATATATATATATATATATATATATAAAAAGAAAGATACAATATAGAACTTTTTTCTCAATCTCGCTCACTTGTTCTCTCTATTGAGCTCTCTCTTTTGTGTAGCGCAAACCAATTCAATCAATATATATCAACCCTAAATAATCCCTTACAAACAAACTCAACTTGCCCCATAAGTTTAAGCATTAGTAAAATTACTTCTTGTTTTCTAATGTTAATTTCTAAAAATAATAAGTAATTTTTGTCACTGTAACCCTTTTCTTCTCACCATCACATGTTACTAAATGGCATTGCACTTTCTGTTTCACCTTAAGAAATCATAATCATGAGGCAAAAGTGTAAAAATAACCCCTAAATTATTCACTTTGTTGCAAATACCCCCTAAACTTGAAAAGGTTGCATAAAGGACCCTGATATTCACCGGATCAACTTTTCCGGCATATGTTGATTTGAAATGACCGAAATAACCTTACTTATTACATTATTTAAAAAAAAAAAAAAAAAAAAAAAGCCTAATTGTAGAATACTAATTACCTCATTAACTTAAGTTGACCTAAATTCTGAAGTTGTTGATTATGTTAGAAAGAGAGACATATAGACAGATCAAAACTTAGGGTTTCATTTTGTGGGTTGAAGAGTTTCATCGTGTTCTTGTTATGTTCAATTGTGCGTTACATTGTGTTCTTGTTCTCTTCAATTGTCCGTTACATCGTGTGGTATTTCTTGTTGGGTCTGTCATTTTCAGGATCTTTGGTTCGTTTTTATAGCATTAATCAGACCGTCAGTATAGTAACCCAATAAACAATGATCAATCCATATGCTTCTTGATCCGAAGATGGATAAGCCATCACCGTCCGATTTTGATCTCCACCCGACGTGCGTTAGACTCGACCGTACGTTAGTGTTCTCGGAGGAGACACAGTGGTGGACGTGGATGTTGTGGATGATGATGTTGTTGATGTATTGGAGCATAATGCACCCACCGGTGATGTGCACGTTAGCGCCGCGGCCATTGATGGTCTTAAAGGAGTCGACGAGGAGCTCGTGCTTGAGTTTGATGAGCATGTTGGTGGAAAAGACGATCCAGAGGGGCTTCGTTTGGATCACGACGTGTCGGAAGGTTCCCGGAGTTGGGTTCGCCGTATCGCGATCGGAGGAGTTGGTGACGACGTAGATCCGGCCACCCTTGCCGCCGAGTGCCTTTCAGAACCCTATGGCGCAGTCGGCGAGGCGTTACCGGTTGTTGGCCCAGTTTGGGTCTCATTTCCAACAGTTGTCGATAGGGTTTCCGGTGTGGCTTGTCTGGCCCTTTGATTCGACATTGTTCGCCAGCATTTGTCGTCTGGATATAGAGACATTGAGACTCCTGCAGTGAAAACAGAGCAAACCAGAGTGAAAAACCCCTAAAAATGAGCAAAAATCAGATATTTTGTTGTTCTTGAAATTGTGTGAAAAAAGAGTGACAACCCACGTGATAAAAAAAAGCCTAATTTTTGATCTGTTCTTGAAATTGTGTGAAAAAAGAGTGACAACCCACGTGATAAAAAAAAGCCTAATTTTTGATCTGTGCATCCATCTCTCTCTCTAACATAATCAACAAATTCAGAATTTAGGGCAACTTAAGTTGGGGGGGGGGGGGGGGGGGGGGGGGGTAGTTAGTACTTAGGTTTTTTTTTTTTTTTATTATTTTTATATAATGTAATAAATAAGGTTATTTCGGTCATTTCAAATCAACATATGCCGGAAAAGTTGATCCGATGAATCTCAGGTCCTTTTTGCAATCTTTCCTAGTTCAGGAGGTATTTGCAACAAAGTGAATAGTTCAGAAATTTTTTTACACTTTTGCCTAATTATGATTAAGATAATTATTCAACGCAGGGCTTGTAAGAAATAAATAACATTTTTTTGGGAGGTCTTGTCAGAAAGATAATTTATAACGATAATTCTAACTCTTTTTTTGGTTCATTTTCTTTTTTTAGGTCATATATATTTATGACATCTATTTTGGTCCCTTGTTTTTGGGAGGGTGTATTTTGATTTTTTTTTGGGTCCCGCTTCATGAGATCTAGTATTTTATTATACTCCTTTCACTTTTGTGTAAGGTAAATTGGTATGATCCTTGGTGAATCACGTTAATGTCGAACCACATAAAATTATGTATGATTGCCTCTCTTTTTTAATTTTTCTTTGTTTTTCTTCTACTGTTCTACTATGTCCATGTCGAGCTGGATTCCTTATATATCGCCTCATTTTGAACTCAAAGACTGCTAAAGCCGACTTTAGAAGCTCTAAGAGAGTGCAATGAGTAAAATGGTTTTCTTGATTTTGTGTAGAACCAAACATCGAAATAATGAAAAATATATTTTGGGGCAAATGTTTTAGGTCAAAATAATCGGGGCCCTGGATGATGTTTTAGGTCAAAACAAAGGGAGATCTAGTTTCAAACCACAAAATCAGTACATTGTATTTTGATTTCTTCACACCTTTGTGCACAATGGAAAATTAAAAAAATTATACAGATGGACGGAAAAGGCAATGCAAAACATGGAAGCCAATAATGCTGTCTTGTTACCCACGCTTGCTTGCTTTTGCTGTAGTATATTTATGCTATTTAAACATGTAAAATAATACCAGCTGTCATTCCAATTGCTGATCAATCCTATCAATTAGGTGACTTGCAAATGACAATTTCAGAGAAACATCATAACTACAGAAGTGCTAATTTTCAATAATGCTTAGGAGAAGCAATAAGACTATAAAACTTATTCAATTGGATGAAAGCTCATATAACAGTGAGGTTGATGCCTGCCTCTATACCCAAGTAATTCAGCATCTACTAAGTTGGCAATCCAAGTACAATGACTACTGTGTACAACCTTTTCCATGACATTTTTATCCATGTGAACCAAACACGGCTCAGCTGAACAAGCTCAAAAGATGAGTGATGCAGGCGGCCTTGGGAACACTTTCTTCAATCCAACGAAGCAAAAACTACAAAAAGTTGAAGAGTTAAAAACTTTTCACCTGACTAAAAACTAATTTACTGGGATTTCTCTACCTGCAAATATAAAAAGAGCATCTCAGTCCTTTACTTGTTAATTTCATCTTCTAAAGTCATATAATAGACAAATCAGATTCAATTTTATCTCTAGTTTGTATTATACAATTAGGTTAATTCTCTTCAACTATCTAACAGAAAGTGAATTACGTACATTGAGTCAAGCAACAGTAATATCCTCAGTGTTGCTGATTTCCTCGACAAACTGGGCTTTTGGCTCCAAATCTATGAACTGATTGGACTGACTAGCTAGGTGTGAGATGCTAACTCTCCCCTGACGTTTTATATAGTCAGCAACAGCTTTCATTTCTTCCTGTGAGATGTATATGTATTTCCCTCTATCATCCATGACACCAGACAGCCGCCCTAATAAAAACAACAATTATTTAGACAATGGCAGAAAACAAGACGACCCTGGAAACAAAAAGCAGAAATTGACAAGGAAAAAAAATAAAAATGGAAACACACACAAAATAGCAGAAAACAGACCACATATTGAAGCGTATGTGTATGAAACAATTAACATATAAATGTGGCAAGAAAAGCTGAAATAAGGAACAGCAAAAAGGCTAGAAATATAGTCGAAACATGGGCATCCATGCAGACAAATCTGAAATAACTTCCAATTTAATTATAAGATATAGAGCGTTAATTGACATAACTTAGAGCAGATAGTGCATCGGGTTTTGACCAGGGACAAGTTTTCATGGGCTGAAGTCATAGAGTATGTTGAGCCAAAGTAGTTGATACAAGCACCTGATTGATAGAAACAAAGAGTTCAATGCAAATCAACGAAAATGTCACATATCATACCCATATCTTCTAGCGAGGTTATCCGATTGATGCAGTCCTGCATTTGCCCAAAGTTGCATGGTATAGTTAGGAAGTGTTAAGAAGTGCACACCGCATAAAATTATAACATCGTGGTACCATCACAAACAAGGATAGGAGATTCCGAAGACTTCCATAAACATATGCCCACGCATGTAGGCATAAATATATATTAAAGAATTGCAACTGAGCTATATTCCGTTCCTTTATTGTTTAACAAAAATGAAAATCGCAGTACTTAATTTAACAACCAATCAAAAACCTTGTCGAGTGCTATGGCTACAGGGATGAAAGGAAGAAGGGTGGAAAAATGTACTTGAAGTACCTGAGTGCGTAACTTGAACTCTGCAGCAAGATCTTCCAAGGGGACACATTTGTGTTTCTGAAAGATCATATATACGAAATCAGCCCACAACCATCTTTACTTTGTAAGCTTCATTATCAAATGATGACATATTGACATATCTATGCTTCCTTGTCCATAGACCAGTAAAAGAACTCCTAAAATTCTTTCCTATATTTTCTGTCATGCTGGCGTACTTCATGTACCACAATAAATAGAACTGTAATGAGAAGAAAAGTAGAAGTGCCAACATACATATGTGGGGTGTGTGTGGGTGTGGTGGTGGTGGTGGTGGTGGTGGTGGGTGGGGGGGAGGTGCTGCTTACCAAGACCAGTCTTAAAATTACCTTAATGTATTCCACAAAATCAAAAAGCATGCCCTGACTGCCATCTTGAACTTCATTTTCTGTGGTACCTTCAGCATCAACTGAAAATGCACCTTTCCATTTTTCAAACTCTAACGCAGCTACTTCCTCCTCCTTGGCCTTTTGGGCTTTGATTTCTTCTTCCTGAATAAATAATGTCCAATTTCATCAACAAGGAATCCAACACTGTAACCCACAAAGTGCAGAAGATCAACCAACCAGCTTACGCTCTTGTGCTTCACGCTCCTCATCCTTTCTCTGCCGCATTTCTGAATAGCGGTCTTGTTTTGTTTGCCTTGATTCACGTCCTGCTTCTTCAGCCTTGAAAATCAACCATGTGAAATTTAGATCATAAAACTATTGATGCTCCAAAAAGAGAGGGAAAAAGAAAAGAAAAGATACAACATCAAAGTAAAAAAGCCAAGGATTACTACAAACATCAATAGCAATGATTGACATTTTCTGAAATGTGAATTATTGTATTTTAAATAAATCTTATATAGAATTCTTAATTATGAGAATTGTATTCAACTGAAAAATTGAGTTAGACTGAATAGTTTTTTTTGTTCGAATTCTTAATGATGTGAACAGATGTTCAACTAAAAGTCTACAGTTATAAGTAGCATAAAACTTGATCTAATTCATTCCCACATAATACCTAGAAACGAGATACATTTTTTTCTTTTAAATTGGAAAATTAAAAATGAGTTGAAAAATTTATAAAACATAAAATAAAGACGAAGAAAGTATAATAAGAGATGCCCCAACACCTGTCGTTGAGCTTCACGCTCTTGCCGTTTCTTTTCTCTCTTCTTTGATGCTTTAGCATTATAATACTCATCTCCAGCAGCTTCGTCATCACTTCCATCAACAACTTCTGCACCAAAATTTATTATTATTTAAATAAAAAAAAAAAAAAACTTTCACTACCCACGTGTCAGCCTCCAATTACATAGTACTTAAGGGATTGATTATTTAATGCATTCTAACTCATATGCAAATCCTGAGGTCCAAGAGAGTTCTTATGTGTTATAATATTTACATATTTTTAAAAAATAGAGCATTCACAAGTCCCAATACAATAATATTAAACATACCATAAGGAATCATAGAGGCAATAATACCTTCAAGAAAATTAAGGTTGAATATTGATGAAAACCTTTTGAAAGTTCTTATTCTCCTCGTGGTTGACAATATTTTTTCTTCATTTGATGCTAGTTACTTGGTAAGAGGGTACTCCCCCTCTTCTCTCACTCACACCAAAAGAAAGGAAAATGAGAAAGGAGGTAAAAAAGGGGGGAAAATTTACTTAAACCCCTCAGCAATGTAACCCATAGATTAAATCCCTGCAGAAGCCCTTCATGAACAAACATGTAATATACATGATGTTGCAACAGTTTGAAGATAGGTTGATAGCTGGCTCTATAGCCAGTACTACTACTACCTTTAACATATTCAAAATCTGAACATTTATAATCATAAAACATTAAAAACTAAACTAAAAATCTCTACTTCCTTGCTTTATAGAGTTGCCAGCTCACTCAATCCAAAGAGTCCAAATGACATATACAATAACTAACGAATCAAACAATAACAACAACCATTCAGGTAACTATAACTAATAAGATGAAACGATGAATAAGATTTCCTTTGATGGCAAAGGTGAGTACACTTATCTGGACTGAAACGGAAGAGCCAATTATTTCATCATTTTAAGGAGGAACGCATAAAAGAAAGGAAAAGTAGCACACCACCAACCTTCTACTACTGGGGCTGAAGATGTGCTGGCACCAGAAGCTGGTCTTCTTCGCATCCGACGAGCACCAGTGGCCCGTACGACTGTGTCCCTCTGCCTAACCTGCTAGTTGTTCGACGTAGTAACAGACATCAGAAGAGGTAAAGAAACTGTACCTTGTAGATACAAATAATAAACTAAACTTGTTTACAATCTGAATACCAAAAAAATATCAGTTCTGCATACATACTTTGCCTCATATATATAAAATTAATAAACTAAAATTATTAAAATATCAAAAACAAGATTTTAACAATATTTTGCATCCCACTAGATACATTGCATCATATATACAATTAATATAACCTAAAGTTTTTTCTAAAATCAAAACAAAAAATTATCAGCTCTGCATACCCAATCTTTATTTATAATAAATTAAGAACCTATTATTCTGATGGGGAAAGGAAAAAAAAAATCCAATAAGGAAACAGGAAATCAGACCTGAGCTGCTTCTTCATGTTCATGTTCATCGGGGGATCGAGAAACCTGACGCCGTTTCCACAGATAAAGGGGAATTAGGGCTACAAGAAGAAGCATACAAAGAAGTGCCGCAATTATATCTTCCATGATTTGATCTTTGGATGCTTTGAACCGTCTGCTAAAATATAGAGTGCAGAAATGTAGATTATAACATTGACAAACGGTGACTTTCGACACTTTGATCATCTCTTAAAATCGAAAATCAACATATTAATTCAAGTTTAAAGCTAGGGATGATAAAAGAAAAAGAATGAATCAGTAAATAACACTAGGGTTTGATGCTCGAAATCTTCTATCTGTTGATAAAATTAAACAGAATTGGGATTTTAATATGTAATTTCTAATTACTATGTTCTATTTCCAAAGAAGAAAATTGATGAAATTTACCTTCCTTAGGAAGATGCGAGAGTTCAACACCGGAAATTAGAAGAAAATCAGCCAAGTCTTATTGTGTACTAGGATGCAAATGCAATTGATGCGTTCGGGCTGGACGGACTTCAGGCTAAATACGATGGGTTGTACGGACCTATAGAATTTTTTTTTTCTAAAGGGATGCATATAGTTATGATTTTTTAATTTATCAAACTTAACAAACTAAAAAATTCTCATAACTTACTAACCAATAATTGTGCATTTACGATTTGTTAGAAATTAACTCAAAAACTATGTGCACAAAATAAATAAACATGGTTAAAGTCTTTTAGCCTAGCTGGTAGATGCCTCCTGCTGACTCTTGGAATGTATGGGTTCGAGACTGAGCACCAACAAACTCCTTAACTAACATTTACCCTTCAAAAAAAAAATAAATAAACTTGACATAAATATAAAGAAGTGCAAATTCGTGTTTTATAACAAAAAGATTTAAACATCGTGCTTTTAACATATTTGCTAATAATTTTCATCTTTTCTGCTAATAATTTTCATTTCATCTTTTCTTTCTTTTCATTAATGCTTTCACTCTCTTGTGAGGTTAGCTATTTCCCAAGACTTTTAATTGATTTTCTTATTGACTATTTTTGTCTTGGTAGCTCCAAACAAATTTTATAGATAGTCATTTTCATGAAAAATTGCAGTATATTAAATAATATCTTCTTTTCATTTCTTGATATTATTTCACAAATATTTGTGTGTATTTTTAATAATTTTAATAGTGCGTCATTAATAAAAAATAAATAAAGGAACTCTTACTTCAAACTACTTGAATTCTTGTGATCATTAACAATAAATATTAAAATTATGTTCCAATTTTGATTTATCTGATTTAATAATCAACATGATCTTCAAATAGTCAAGCTCAATGCATGATTAACAAACTAAAAAAAAAAAAAAACAAGAAACTAAATAATAAATGCATATACAATCACACGGTCTTAACATTTTCAGTCGGCAATTTTGACACTTGTGTCAAAATTGACACCCCCAAGTATTGTGCTGTTCTGAAGTGATTATCTATCATTAGATATCTTAGGGTTTTGATGCCCCAAGGAATCCAGTGGAATTTTCACATAATTCAAGTCATTTCTGCTTAACCAAACAAAATTGACACTCACAACAACGTCTTTGTTTTTATTTTTCCTTTCCTTGGGTTTCCTATGTGTATTGGGATATTTATTGTTTATAGATGACATTCTTCCAATAGAATCTGTTTCCAGTGTCTATTTCACTGACAATAATAGAATTTAAAATGATACACCTTATTACAATAACAAATAGAGTTTCATGGGCTGAAAACGTTTAGAAGATTGACCTACATTTTTATTCCTAGTTTGAATGACTGGAGCTTGAGTAGCTTTTGGTCAATGCAGTTGAATTTAAATTCTCTGTAAACAAATTATAAGCACCTTCAAAATTGGTGCCTGATTTACCAGGTTTCTGAGAAATATTCCCAAGGAAACGAATCGTAGAACACCAATTCAACTACAATTTTAAAAAATAAAAAAACGAATCGTAGAACTGTTAAAAGAGTGATTCAGCTCAAACCTATCAGACAACCGAACAGTTTATGCTTACACAAGAATACGGGTACACATTCCAACACCAACATGAAGATCCTGACATGAAGAAAGTACAAGGCTACAATATGCACTGACTGAGCAGCTTTACCTGGTTTCAACCTCAAACTAAGTATAATACCACAGGTGCAATGTATGTAGGGACGAAAACAAGAGCTGCGAATTTATAGCAGACAACCTTGGGCCAAATAAAAGTTCTAATCTGTACTTATAGATTCCATTTCATAGAGTATCTGCTTAATAGTCGAGGAATGTTGCCGTAGCATATCAATGTGCCAATTTCTTGAGATGCTGAAATGTTCGCTGTTTAATCCACTGTCGATCATATGGCAGGTAAGCCTGAATTGAGTGGTCGTATCTGCAAGCCAAACCAGGTAGAAACATAAATCATCATATCACACCACACTGAGTAATTGCATCACTTTACTATGTTGCTATGTGAAGTTTGAACCACGCCGTTGTAACTTCAAGCCAGAACAAAGTAGAGGCAATAACCATATCATCCCACAGGAGCATCGTTGTCCTATGGATGTGGGTGCGCGCACACACAAGCTGCAGCCAAACTCTTGATATAGATGCATGCAAAAATGTATCTCAAAAAGAGGGTTGCCAGTTGATAAATGATGCAAAGAATCTCATTATGACATAAAGGAAAGCCAAATTGACAACTGGCTTTCTTTTACCCAGTCTAGGTCATGATATCTTCATAGAGAGAGCTTTTTTACCCAAATTTTGAGCTCCATTTTGTTAAATTAATGGATTTCCAATGAAGGGATTTGAGTTTAAACAAAAGAGTGTTTACTGAAGTTCGATGCCAAAACTCAAGTGGATATTATACTAAAGGCAGGATAGACATATTTGATTGCAATCCATGTCGGCATGGATTGCAAAAAACACTTTACACCTTGTTATTTGAAATCCTCTAATATTAATGTACTTATTGTTTAAAACTTCAACCTGAATTACTCGCTCTAAATTTATGTTATAATCCTTTAAAAGATAGAACCATAAATCCATTTATGTCAAATCCTTCAATCCAAATGGAGCCTTTAAGACTTCATCTACACAACTTAAACAGTTATGCAGTTGCTAGGTTACACGCTTTGTGGCAACCCTATCAAATATGTGAGACGAGAAAGAAAGAGAGAGAGAGAGAGAGAGAGAGAGAGAGAGTACACTAATGCACTCATGTCTGCGAGGCCATCAATGAAATTGTAGAGATCTGCAATATCATAAGTGATGTTCCTGATGGCTGGATTTAGCTCCTTGAGTTTCCTTTCATATAGTCCACAAATACCTGTAAACCACCAACAATATAATCACGTCTTATGAAATACATAATATTGTATCAGAAAATGAAAAATCAATTGTTTGTTAGATTCAAATTACAGTTAAGGAGCCACTCATTCATTTGCAAAACAATCCGTCCATCAAAGAAATAAATATCGAAATAGCTTCAAAAAGAAGTTACCAAAAACAATATAAGAAATGCATAAATAAAAAAACAGAATAACCAATAATTTAAAAATCTAATCCCAAGTAGATCAGGTATGGACACGAGATGTGGGGCAGAACCCTGACATAACACAACAATGACATGGATATTTATAATATATATTAATTCTTGAAAAATTTAGAAGAAGGTCTGCGCACCAATATCGGCCATGAAAGAGCCAAGCCATAACAAATGAGAAGCTATAAGACTTAACTCCAACATAATTACTCTGATATAGCTAGCCCTTTTAGGTACTTGAATATTTCCTAACTGCTCTGGTGCATTTATAGCTATTGCTTCCGTGAACATAGTACCTAAATAATCCCAACTTGTTACATCCATATATGTTTTCTGTAAGTTAGATCTATAGATTGATAAGTTATGCAAGGCAAACACAAAAAATATTTAACTAACATTCTAAGTTCTACATTAACAATGCTGACTCCTTGAGTTTCCACCAGCAATGTAATAACCTCTAATGAATGATAACTCGTGATATACACAATATAATAGCATGGATACACTACGCAAATTACCTCTCCAATGTAGAGCATCAATAGCAACTAAGAGATCTCACAGAACAAAAATCACTCATGACATACACCATGTATACATGTTACATGGACTCTTTGAAAGTAAATGAAGTCTCTGCGTTAGGGGACACATTACACAGACATGCGTATGAGATATGTGTTCAACTTCGACACTTTTAATTGGACACACACCTAAAAGGTATATCATAAAATTCAATTTTATTATATTATTGTTTCAAATAAATCAAACGCATTCATTGTCCGGTGGCTCGAATAGTTGGGCTATACTCCTAGGCCTTTCAGGGTTCATTGGGTTATGCCTCACAGTGCGACGAGTGCCCTTGAGGCTTAAAGAGGTTGCTCAGTGGGAGTTTAGGCCTGAGATGCTTGGAGAGTTGTGCCCTTGTGCTTATGGTGGTCCTTGTGGAGGGCAAGAAATAGGAGATCCTATGAGGGACAGGAAACTCCTATTGGTGTGCTTAAGTTCTCTATCCTTCACACTTTATTTTTTTGGCTTCGGGGGCAAAACAGAAAATCTGGATTTTGTGGATATGTTAAGTGATTAGGGGCCCTATTTGGTCCTTGTGCAGTTTTTTGGGGTTGCGCTACCCTCTCGAGCTCTCTTTATAATACTTGTCAAAAAAAAGTGACGCCAATATTTGTAACCATGTTATATAAAGATATTTTAGTCTAGAAAATAACATAAAAATATTATATAATATGAATATATAGTGGTGTCCTTGTAACCATTTGTTCCTGATTCGACATGTCCAGCGCTTCGTTGCCTGCTGGCACCCACCCACGTGCTTGAGTCCATGTAACATATATAAAAGCTATAATTCACTAGAAGTCCCTATTTCTTCATGGTAAAAAAGCTTTCTATGTTATTCTTAATTATAAAAAAATAAAATGTCTTCAGACATTTTTATTTTTTTATTTTTTAAGGTTAGCTGATTATGTATGCACTCTCAAAGTGGGTTGTGAACTCCACTATAAGCCAGATAACAGTCTTTTACAGTAGCTTATGAGCAGCTCAATGCTTATGTCATTCCAAGTAATAATTTCAAGTCTCCGAAGCGAAATGAATTACATGAGTAACATAGATGGAAACTGTGTAGAACAACAATACTGTAAATCATACCCTCCATTGCTTGACTTATTGATTCATAATCCATAAATGTTCTAGTTGCTCTGTTCTGAGATGTCTGCATCAGAACGATGGTATGCTTGTTGGCCTGCATATGAAAAGGGAAAACAAAACAAAATCTGAACAAGTTATATCAAGAACCACTGTTAACAAAAAGTGTCAATATTTAACATCCAATGATCAACTGAGATCAACGCCTGAGAATAAAAGAAAATGAGCATGATAGAAATACATTACAATCAACACATAATAAAACCTTAATGATAGAAATTAGCCCCAAAAATGCCAATTTTGTCTACTTAAGATGCACCATGGATTAATAGGGACATTTCAAAAGAAAAGAGTAGTTCCTCTCTATAAGACCACTGTAGTGTCAGCATAGTATGACTAAACTTAAAATCAAAGCAGAAGCACTGACCAACAACTACAAGCACCCATTAAGATACTGGGCATCTATATTTATCTGTTCCAGTATATATTTGTTTTATTTTTGAGGGAAAGTAATTTAGGTGAATGGCTGTATTTCAGTGGTTGACGACAAGGATAATTTTTTATATTTTTTTGAAACTCAGTACTCCCTTGGGTAGGGCCCTTTGGACCCACCCCAAGCTACAAACTAAGGGTGCAGCAGCCGGCCCCATAGCATGCACCAAGAAATCCAGGGTTTTTAATGGAGATGGACGGGTTCGAACCTCGGACATGTGACTACCCAAGTCGTTACCTTACCAACTCATCCAAGCCCTGTCATGCACATATGTGGAGAGAAAAGCTTGAGAAGATGGGACCAAGATTAGATGTTTGTCTTTTTGTGGGCTACCCAAAGGGTACAAAGGGTTATTCATTTTATGATCCTAAGGAGCAAAAAGTATTCGTTAGCACGAATGCTGTTTTTCTCGAGGAGGATTATATAATGAATCACCATTCTTGAAGCAGAGTTGTTTTAGAGGAGTTGATAGATACACCAATCAATCAAAGAGTTGACATAACAGTTATGCCTAATGAGACACCGGATACCACAAATCCAGAACCTCTTACCATACTGGAACCTCGGCGTTGTGGGAGGGTTATCAGGCCACCTGATAAGTTAACGCTCTTGGGAGAGTCTTACGAGATGATCCCAGAAGAGCAAGATCCCTCCAGCTATGAAGAGGCTATGAATGATTATGACTCGGGACTTTGGCAAGATGCTATGAAGGCTGAGATGGAGTCTATGTACTCTAATCAGGTTTGGGAGCTGGTAGAACCACCTGCAAATATTAAACCTATACATTGCAAGTGGGTCTATAAGCGAAAAAGAGGATCAGATGGGAAGGTTGAAACCTTCAAAGCAAGGCTTGTTGCGAAAGGTTTACTCAAAAAGAGGGTATCGATTATGAGGAGACTTTTTCGCCAGTAGTCATGCTTAAGTCTATTCGTATTCTCTTATCCATTGCAGCTCATCTCGATTACAAGGTTTGGCAAATGGATGTCAAGACGGCCTTTTTGAATGGTCATCTTGAGGAAGACATCTATATGATGCAGCCAGATGGGTTCATAGCAAAAGGCCAAAAGCATATGGTATGCAAGTTACATAGGTCTATTTATGGACTTAAGCAAGCGTCTCGTAGTTGGAACATTCGGTTTGATCTAGGAGTCGAATCTTTTGGATTTGATCAGCATCCGGAAGAATCTTGTGTATATAATAAGAGTGAAGGAAACGTGGTGGTGTTTCTACTTTTATATGTTGATGACATACTACTAATAGGGAATGATGTAGGAATGTTATCAACAGCAAAGATTTGGTTATCCAATCAATTTGATATGAAGGACTTGGGAGAAGCCAGTTACATTCTAGGGATTAAGCTATTGCGAGATCGTAAAAATAAAATGTTGGGCTTATCTCAGGCTGCTTATATTGATAAGATATTGGTCAAGTTTGGTATGCATAATTCCAAGAGAGGTTTATTACCTTTCAGGGGGTGACAAGGGTAATTTTATATCCATCATAACACACTACGGTCCATATTACACATATTATTCTCACGTGATATTTTTTTCAAAAGTGCGTACAACTCGTTTGTTACCACTGGTTGAACTAACACTATTATCAAAACAAAAACAATTTCATGTTCACCATTCTGATACCCCCTCCGTCCCCAAAAAAGTGTCCTGCTTTGGGAACTGTTGTGAGTCACAGTTCTCAAAGTTGGACACTTTTTTTGGGATGGAGGGAGTATATTACATCACTGCTTTACATCAAACTTTGCTATCTGCATCATCATATGGGAAACTGGCTGAGTGCCCCAAATCCCACTTAATTAAACCTTTTACATTCTCCCCCTCCTTCCCTCCCTGAATAATACTAACCTTCTAACACCATGGTAGAATGACTTAAACTAAAAGAAGACAAATGATGCAGCTTTTCATACTAAAAGGGGTGTGAGTACCAACTCGTAAAAAAAAAAAAAAAATGAGATGGATTACAAATATTTAGTATGTAAAAGTGTAAAACAAGTAGATCTAGCTCTTTCTTTTAATCTCCTATTAATTTCTATCCGTAAATTTTGTTGATAATATATCTTTTGTCTTCTATGACAACTTTACAAACTGTTTCATGAATTAAAAAATTGTAGTAGTTTGTCCCAAAGTAGGTAAAGGTTTAGAACAATGCCAAGTTTCTGTTACAAGAATTCACGAGAGAATTGCAAGTGTTGTAATGAGGTAGAACAATATCCCAGTTCCAAATTGAGACCATAACCTCTTATAGTGGACGACAAATAGGCTCAAGTGGTTGGTTTTACATATCATAATTGCATTCACATCCACACCTGTATACAGCCATATCCTTTGTCTAGCCTCTGAGGAAGACATTTATTTGATACACCAGCTTCATGTTGAAATACAGTACTCATGCCCTTCTCCATAGATCCCAGAAAAGTATATTTTGCAAACTAAAATATTATAATTGCTTTCAAAACAAAGAATGTGTAATGTATTAGTTCCACTAACACAACAATTACATGCAACGCTATTAAAATCAAACTAACTGTCAACACACCACCAGTGGCGTCATTACAGTGCAAACATAAACTCCATAGATTGGATAGTATTGATAGTTAACACCTATGTTACATGGTCTCAGGTATGGAAATGTATCCATGTATCGGACGTATCAAATCTCCAAACAGATCGGCACCTGAACACTGCTAAATATTCATTTTATTTTCTAGTGTAAGGTAATGTTTTTATGTAACATAGTGTTCAATATAGACATTTAACTCATTTTAAAGTAGAAATATTATAAAATTGAATGATTGGATACGCTTTTTAAGTACATGTCCAACCAAAAGTGTCGGACACATATCCTATACCCATATTCGAGCAATACGTGTCCGACTTGGGTATTTCACTACTTTTGAAGAGTACATGTAATATAGGTTAACACCACATCACCGCCATCATTACCACCATATTATTCTCACCTGTAACACTACTGCCATCTCATCATCCACTACCATCAACATCAATCTTACCACTGCAACACTGCCATCAATATCCAACCCAAATTGACATTGCAACTTTAAACAGCTCCACTGTTATTATAGTGTTATCCTTTTTATCGCCAACATTAACAGCATGCCAGTCCAAGTTTTTCTCTTATATATGTATAAGCAAAACTACTTTTATAAAACATTTTTAAACATATACTTTGTTTCCATTCTCCTAAGTAAGGAAAAAAGTGAATTAAACTGAAAAAAGGGACTAATGAATTGCTTTGCATCACCACCCAAGAGAACTTTAGAAAGCGTAACCTAACGGTATTGGAACAACTATAAAACACAGCTCCTAATTGTTCAACAAATAGACAAGAGGAGAATTTTTCGTATAGCATTGTACAAAATTTTCAAGTTTTATTTTTAAAAAGATTACCTTAGAAAGTGAAGGATTTATCAGCTTTCCATGTTTAATTCAATCTCATTCTTGACATTCAACTGGTCTGATATGTTCACCAAAGAAGAATTATGAAAGTATGCATATGTACATGCACATATCTCCACATACATGAACATTCCTTAATGAGAAAATCAAAAGGTAGTGCACAACTTATTGTAAGAAGCATAAAAAGCTTAGCATTGAACAACAGAAACCTCTTCTAGGTATATGAAGAAGAAAAAAATAAAACTAAATCAATAGCAAGTGCTAATGGAAAATATAATAATGGAATCATGACACAATGTTATCCTACTAATCAATCTTTTTGACAGCAATATAGTTGTCTGTTGTGCTAATTTTCCTCGCATGCTATCATATTATCAAAAGATAATATGACATATTTTTGTTACAACCAGCCGCATAGCCGGGTCATTGGTGTTATTATAATGATGGCACAAGTCCCAAGCAGGCATTTGTGCCTCATCATTAACATCTACAAAGCATGCACACTAAAAAACATGTCCTCTCTCTTTCTCTCTCTAACTATTATTGGTAAGCAGGAGAAGATGGTTTTCAAGTCTCGTAATCAATATCTAAAAAATGATGCGCCAAAGATACTCTCATAGTAGGGTCTAATACAGATATGCATCGAACACACTGAAAACAAACACGAGCAAGAAGACCACACTATCTTAAAAAATTTAAACCGGTAATCATCAAATTAAGCTGATTCTAGTGCAGAACATCTAAGTGGAGCCAACAATCTTTTCAATGAACCTTTGTTGCAGACCACAAACCTCACTGTAGCAAAAGAAATAAGAATGTGTATACATATATAACCAACCAAGACTACCACTCTTAATTAGCTAACAAACAAGCATATTCTGTTATATGGATTATATCTGAACACAAATTCAGCTTAATCGCGTGCTCAAGAAGTTTTTAAGACCACAGATTAAACCTTATATTTGGGTGTTTCTCTGTTTTCTTTTCTTTTTTAGGCTTGAGTGTTGTATTATAACTCAAAGTCCATGTGAATAGATAAAGAGGGGCATACCTCCTGTACAGAATATATCAATATACCAAAAATAACAGCTTGGGAAAGAAAACTATATATATGAAAGAAATTGAGCCACTCCAAGAAAACATAGGAGATTAGGTTCAGTGCCAAACATAATAGCTTGGGATAGAAAACTGTGATTCAATCTTCCAATTTAACCCAAATTGCAGGCCAGAAGCTTCTTAGTTAATAATATATCTAAAGACCTAAAGCATTAATCTGGTATAAATGAAGCTATACACTACAATTATAGACCAAACCCTAGTTTCGTAAAAGAAATATGATTAATAACTGAACAGGTTAAACCATGACCAGGATGAACTACAAATAGATATATGTATATAGATGTAGAGAGATGTATACCATATCGATGGAACTAAAAATGGCCCAAAGATCAGACGCAAGCGAATAGTCTGTTGCGGAGTTTCGAGTTGAGAGAGAAGACTCAGATAGAGGGGAGTCAGCGCGTCCAAAAAATCTTTGCCCAAATGAACACGGGAAAAGGGAAATTTTCACGGACGGAGACTTTTTGGAGACATATTTACACTGACATGGGATTGGGGAAAAAAAAAAGTAGTAGTATTTTTTTTTTTTTCCTTCTTAAAATCGACTTTTTAAATTATTACAAAGTTAAAATCATAAAACCCGATTTACTATCTCAAAATAGTCATTTTAGTCCTTACGAATTATTTTAGTAAACAAAATGATGCAACTGACAATTGTTGCATATAATTGTAAAGTTAACCCTTAAAATTATATATTAATGTCCATTGGCAAGTTTTGGGAGTATTAAAATGATAAATTATATTATATATATATTAATATTTTTAACTAAAGTTTTAATTTTTATAACTACTCATTATATAAATTGCTAAAGTAGTTTTCTATTTTGATCATTATAATCATATTTTATTAAACCTTCAAAGATTTGTTTAATTAGAAATTTTTTATAAAAAAAATTTATCAAGGGAATAATGATATAACTTTGCCAAAGTGGAATCAAAGTATTCAAAAAATATTTTAGAAATTAAAATTATTAGATATTTGAAACAATTGTTAAAGTAAAAAACAATTGCTAAAATAAAAATAATTTTCTTTCTAATATTAGTTTTCCATATATATTTAAAAAGCTTGCACTTTTCTCATTTTTAGATTATATTGTTTCAAGTTATGTATATGCATACTAAAATTAACATTAGATTGAAAATTATATTACAATTATTTATAAACAATCAAATTTTAATGGACTTGATTTGGAGTTTAAAAGGACATTTTGATCATTAAGGGATTAAAAGGATATCTTGGTCATATATTACTTTACAAGTTGGCACATGACAGGCACATGCTCGTATCCCGTTACTATTTAAAAGAGTGGTCACAAATCGGATCGGATTAGATTAGGCATTAATCATAGTTCCCAACGGATTGAAAAAATTTGAATTTACCACTAATCCATGGAATGACCGATCGGATCCGATTCTTGGATTGACGTTTTTCCTAAATAGTCTAATATTGTTTATTTTTTAACCATAATCGATTGATAAAATTTCAATTTATCAGCATTAATTAATATGATTAATTTCTCATTAACTAATACATTCATAGAGTCCATTAAATAATCATTAACAAATTAAATTAACTAATACATTCTTTGTATATATATATATATAAATCTCAATGATCATATTTTAATAGCCTAATTCATGATCCGATCTATGAGTTACGGATTTAAATTTTTTTAATCCATCACCAATCTGATTTCTGGGTATAATTCGCGGTTCCACGGATTATGTGCCCACCGCTAACTATTTGACAACAAATAAAGGATTAGAGGTGATATGAATCATGTGATGAATTTTTAAAAAGTAATGAAATTTTTAAATATTGTTCTTAGTATATGGGGTTAACAATGGAACACTATTGCGAGTAAAGTAATCACTTTTGTTAGTTATGGAAATTATTTGTTAGTATGGGTTATGTGACCCTTTAAGATAGCGAAAAGTGTTACGATTTTTACCCTATTTACGACAATGAAGTAGTAAAAATCCTAGGCATAGCTTCTCCAATATTATTATTATAAAATAATTTAAGTGTTTGGATCAAATGGCAAGCACCTGATTTAAAAATACTTGAATCTATAAATTGATTGACAACTAAAATTAGATTATAATCACAGTATAAAAATAAAAAATAAAAAAAACATAATGAGATGGTATAGAATATATAATACAATTGTGTCATTCTTATTTTTATATTATACAATTAGAATATATAAGCAGTTGAGTTAACTAACAAGTAGTACTACCAACTTGGCATGCATGTCATTCCTGTTCTCTTATGGTAACATGAAAAGGAAATAGAAAACACAGCTTTTAACGCAACAATAATAAATTACCGAACACACAACTTCACGAATTTGGTACCTAGTTTCTACTATTTTTCCACTTCTCTCTTTATGTTCTTTCACAAACAAAGCAAAAATGCCGTAAAAAGAAACAAGGTATAACAACAAGGTATAACATAATGAGACATGGTGGCTGAAACCCAAGGAATCCAGTTTCCTGAAGGTTGAGGTTTCTTCCCCGCATCAGTATGGCCGATGACGGAACATTTATGTTGGGTTCAATACTCAGGCTGCAAGGAGCTTCTGGATGTCCTTCTGTAAAAGATAAAAGGAGAATTATAATAATTTGAAATTTTCCTTAAAAACAATAAAAAAATGAAAAAGGAAATAAGAAAAAGGAAATAAGGGAAAAGAAAAAGAAAGAAAATTTGATTTTCTATTTCTAGTACTGGGAAGCATTTGGATAAGAAAGAAGAATAGTTTAGGATTTAGGTTGGCTGTCATAATTTAACATACTTTCTTCTCTTTTCCCAAGACATCTTGACCGATCACCAAGCCACGGCCAAAAGAGTAAAGATATGAAATTCTTGATACCATTTCGTTTATATAATTGAAATTCATTTGATCACTCCATGAGAGGAAAAATGGATCATTCAGGAGAAGAAAACAGCAACTTCACTGGAAAAATTAGGATTACAAGATTCCGGATAGGAGCATAAACACTAGCACCAAGAGTCCCCACCTAACACTTAAATTGGAGTGCAAAAACAATCTAAGAATCTAGCTAAACTGTGATCCTTTCTATCAGCCTGCGGCAGTGTATTTAATCAATCTAACAATTCAGCCCTATTTAATGTATACCAAATATCAAACATTAAGGGGAATACACATGCAAATGTGCATAATACATCAAGAATCACAAATCAAGTGACCTACATTAGTTTAAAGAAAGGAATAAAGAATATCCTGAAGATGGTGTTTCCAAGAAACTTCACCACAAATCTCATTTCCTAGTTATCTAAAATGTTCTTTTGAATTTTATCTATGTTGAATTTACCAACAAGAAACTTAATTATTCAAAAAGTAAGTTCCCTTGCAAATTCCAGGCAGAGTTATTAAAGCTGAATTATGACCTCCAACCATACTTTTTACACTTCCATTTTTCGAAGCATTATCTGATAAAGTATTTCCAGACTTTTGAGAAACGGTAAAGAAACAAACCTCAATTTGGAAAGGTGAAGTTGTCGGCGGGTATCTTTCAACAACCTTACCATTTTTGTCCACTAAAAACTTCTCAAAATTCCACTTGATCAGATCACCTAAAAATCCTCCAGCACTTGACTTTAGAAACTGGTAAACCGGAGCAGTACTTGGTCCATTCACATCGACCTGTGATAGGCAACTTTTAGTCCTGGAATTATCCTCTATCTGCAGAAATGTTGCAAAAAGGAGAAAGGCAGTCGGACAAACCTTATCAAAAATTGGGAATTCTGCTTTAAACCTTGTACAAGCAAACTGCTTAATCTCTGGATTTGATGCAGGCTCTTGCCCACCAAACTGATTGCAGGGGAAAGCTAAAATTTCAAATCCTGCAGCAAGATCACATAATAAGGTGATGTCTTTGTTGAAGCCAGGAAAAATTTTCCCTCCGTTTTTTCCTATTATTTCCAGAAGTTCAAAATAAAATCACTCAGATTCTTATGCCAATACCATTGTAGTCTGGGAAATTAATTGCAATAAACTAAATTAATCCTCATGTTCTGTGGAAACTCTCAAACTACCTAATCTACTTTATTTATGAGTAATCCTATGCATGCACAGAAGAGCACCTGACTATTACCGAAATTCTACCACTAACATCATATAACATAGTTGTTATATCACAGCAAGGGTCAATCCTGACAAAATATATGGATAACTCGGTCAGCAAATTTCAGGTCGGATACTCTTTATCAAAATTTTCAGAACAATTCACTATTCAGAGATAAGCAGACGTACTTGTTAGGCCAATTTTTGTATTCATGACCACTGAAAGAATATTTATACTCAGACCATTTCTGATTAGGAGCCATAATTTAGAAAACTTCATTTGATGGTAATATGCATCTCCTTTGTATCGTTAATGGTAGAGAATTTCTAAGAACCATACTGCACTGCCTCTTTGATATGTATCATATATCAGAAGCATTTCTTCTGTTTGGTTGCCACTTGCCAGGAAAAGGAGAAAAAGAAACGAAAATAACTTCAGAAACCAAACAACTGAATTCATAGGCATCCATTTTTTTTCCTTCTCTACCGTTAATCATGTACCAAACTAGTGATATAACTCCACACTGTCACACATATAACTTGCAAGCCTTTATTTACTTGAAATTCTAAAGATACTAAAGGTCTCAGCAAGCAACCCCCTCATCCCCAAGAATAATAAAATAAATAGAAGGTATAGCAATAAAATAATTACTACGGGTCACACAGAATAGAAAGAGAAAAATATGGCAAAATGGAGGCCAGTATCAATGAGCAGTAAAATAGAAGTATAGGAAAATAACAAGTTGGCCCCTATATGTCGTTGGACACCCGTAGTTTGGGGTCTGAACAAATGACCACTAATCTCTTACAGCTAAATCAAATGCAAGTGATGGGTTGATTTGTGCATATTTAGAACAAAGCATTATGATAAAGCAAAGAAGATATGGAAGTAGATAATATGTGCTTAACGCTGAAAACCAGAGGCCTAAAGACATTATTTTACAAATTATAACAATTCGGTATCTGTAACTATTCGTTGATGGAAATGCTCATTACATTAATGTGCAGTCGCCCGTTGTAGTGACTACCTTCCAGGAAAGGGGAGCAATGGAATATATTATTGTGGTAGCCGAAACGGCGGATTGCCCTGCTACATTACAATATCTTGGCGTAGAAGACAAAATCTCATGTTCAATGGGATGAAACATAAGCGGGAAGAAAGTGGCAGCATGTTGTTGGATTAGGACATATATCATTATGATTGAATATAAGAAGCTATATCGTTAAAATATATGAACAAATTGCTATCAGAAGTTAATATACCTATCTTATTCCCAGTAAAGTAGCATTCTTAGAAGAAAACTGAAGTCACATTGCAGTATTTTGAAGAAGCTTAAAATTGTTTTTCCCACAAGTGTCCTTATTTTTGGGATGCAGGAAACAGAACGACAAGAACTTTCTAAGATTTTTTTTTCCTACTGGAAACTCACACACCCACTTTGCCCCAATAGGTGGGACTTGAATCCTCGACCTTCTAGTTTGGAAGGTGAGGAAGTACCACTAGGCTACAGCCCTTGGTGGTCTTTCTAAGACTATTTTCAATACACCATAAACTACCACATATATGAAAATTCATTTTGGCCATAACAGAATCAACTACATGGTTCTCATTAACCCATCATAGGTACAAAATCATTATTTGGATCAAGACGGGTGCATCTGCATCTTAACACATTCAGTATTTGAAAGTAAAGCGGGAACCACCAAAGAAGGGTGCGTTGTGTCCAGGTATTAAGCATTAAGAGGAAATTACTCTTATTACCATCACACGGAGCTTCTCCTTCAACAGACTGGATTTGGTTTGGATATAGAAATACACAAAAAAAATCAGCTAATGAAATATCACATCCAGCTCAGAATCAATACATGTCAGATATGTTCTGTACAACTGCAGAATTTTCTCATCAAATATGAAAGTATCATAGCGTTACACATGGCAATTCTAATATGCTGTGCACAGACAAGGATCCGCTTTAGATTCAGGAGCACCAGTAAATTTTTATACCAATGTGCAATGTATATGTGTAAGTGAAAACAGAGACATGCACTTAAAAAACATGTCCAATAATTCAATTATATTATATTATTGCGCACACATTGCTCGGACTTGGGAATGAGTTATGTGCCAGACACTTTTACTTGGACATGCACCTAAAAAACAAGTCGAATAATTCAATTTTGTTATATTATTGTTTCAAAATGAGTAAAATGCCAATATTGAACACTATGCTACATAAAGACATTATTTTACTCTAGAAAATAAAATAGAAATATTAAATAATATGAATATTTAGCAGTGTCTAGGTGGTGTTGTTTGAGGATCTGACATATCAGACGCGTGGATACATACCTGCACATGTACCCGAATCCATGTAACATAAGAGTAGATATATACTTAAGAGAAAAAATTCAGCTGTCTAGTTGCACTTTGGCTTAGATTAAGGTAAATGTCTAATCTGGTGATTCACATGCACACATTATTGGACTGTTAACAAAAATGCCAGATTTAACAACTGCAGCTTGAACAGTTCAAACATAATGCAAATGGATTTAAGGGGAAAATAAAAAAGATTTCAAAGAAATATCACGCTTTGACTTCAAAAATCCAACTCACCTTGAGTTTTGTACTTCTCATATATGTGAGAGAGTTCTGAGTAATTTGATGTCGTCAAACCACTGAATCCAAAGCCAAAACCTCCAGTTAGATAGCTAGTGTCTAATAACTTAATGATTTTTTTAAGAATATAGGCTAATGGAAAAGATCTTATTTTGATCTTGGATATTATATACATCAAAGAAGTAACATAGATTGTTGATCGTACATAATAAATGCTGCAGCCAAACAGTTTAAAAGAAAAAAATACCATTTCGAAGCAACATTGACAATCAGTAGAACCTTCCCCTTAAATTTGCTAAGAGCAACATCCTTCCTATCAATATCCTATACCAAAGATCCACCAAATGTCAATGCCAAACGATTTTACAGGGTTAAATGGTTAGTGCCAAATTCAATCATCCTGAGTTCATAAAAAAGAGAGACTATAAAATCATCAATATAAATCAAACAACAATTTAAATCACAACTCCTCGATATGTGCAAATTTAAATCATCAATATATCCCATTCAAACAACAACAACAACAAAAGTATTAATACTCATTATTTACCATTTGAAACAAGAGAATAACACATAACAACAATTGGATGCACTTCTTTTCTTCCAAAAAGTAAGAATTGGATGTTCTTTTCCCCTACATAATTACTAATTACAACAAAAATTATTTTAAATAACAATTTGAGCAAGGAAATTTCATAATACAAAAACCTGAAGAAAAAATACATAAAATATCCATGGTGAATTAAGTTGAAAGTTTAATTTAACACATAAAACAGATGTCTAGCACCAATGGTATCTCCCATCCCTGCCCTTCAAGTCTAGGCAGAGGTATCAAAGTTACACCCTCTCTAACAGCTTAAGCTTTTAGACTAGATGGTGGTCAACAAAAGGGAAATGGAATTGTGGGTATTAAAAAACCGTCCATCATCATATAGAAGCCAAGCAATAAATATCGATGATTGGCTGCACGAGTTCACCAAAATGCTTAAAAAGACCTCTACCTTCATATCAAGGGAGGGGCCCTCTATTCCGACAGTGATGTTATTGTTGTATGTATGAGAAATCTTTCTCTTATCCGATTGTATCTAGTAGGCCTATGGCTTCAAGGGGCCAATGGGACATTCTCCATCAGTGCAATTCATCTCATGCAATAGACAACCCTTGGTTTTCTCCATACAGGTCTGCTACAAACTCGTGCTCTGTCCATATGGATTGTATTTCCAAAGGAGCCCTTCACTCTTGTTTAACACAGGCAATCTTTCCAAACGGTAGATGGACCTCATGCATGGCCATACTATACTGAGACCTGTCAATGTCTCCATATCACAATATTATGTCTCCACTTACACCCATGATCTCTTGATTGATCATATTTAAATATGAAAAGGTATCCTAATTGCTTGGTACACTACCTAGGTCGGGAGCAGGATTTGAGGGCCGTACACCACTCAATGCACACTAGTTCCGCATGGCCCGCCTTGCTGTACATGTGACACAACTCAACGTACATAATGTTGGAAACTAGTTTTTTTTTTTTTTTTGATAAGTAATAATAACATAAAAAAGGCGTTCAAAAGGGGAACGCGTCCCTTATACAGAAATGGAACCTGGACTAAGGCCCCAAAGAATCCAAAAAAATAATTAAATCTTCAGAAGAAGAGCAAGAGCTGCTCTTCACATAATTGAAAAGAGAACAAAGAATGTGAAGTTTCACCATTGCTGTAGACGATTCTTTATCTTCGAACATTCTACTATTTCTCTCCTTCCAAATGCACCACCATACACAATGTGGGACAATTCTCCAGAAATTGGGTACATCCCTTCTCACACGACATCCTCTCCATACATGAATCAATTCCTTAGTAAATCGTGGCATTACCCAACACATGCCAAACAACCCAAGAATAAGATTCCAACAGTCGTTTGCCACAAGGCAATGCATAAGGAGGTGATCAACTGACTCCCCATCTTTCTTGCATAGACAGCACCAATTAACAATACAATTGCCCCTTTTCCTCAAGTTATCAAGTGCCAAAATCTTTCCCCAAACAACGGTCTAGACAAAGAAAGCCACCCTAGTTGGAGCCATGGACCGCCAAATAGTTTTCCACTAGAAGTCATGATTAACAAAATTAGACAGACATAAGAACAAGGACCTTACTGCGAAACGACAGTGGGAAGAAGGAACCCAAATCAAATCGTCATTATCTCTGCCAACACTCTCCTGCCGATACAGAATATCCAGAAAAACACATACCTCATCAATTTCCCAATCCTAAAAAGAGCGCCGAAAGTGCACATCCCACGTAATCCCACTACTATCAAGACGATAACAGTCAGCTACGTAGACGTGTTTATCAACTGCAATACTGAATAATCTAGGAAATGTACGAGATAGTGGCTGATCACCACACCAAAGATCTTCCCAAAACCGAACGCGATGTCCATCACGAACTTTGAATAGAATATGAGCAGAAAAGGCATCACAACCCTTCCGTATAGACTTCCACATCCCTACTCCTCCCACAAGGGTAACCGGACGTGTAGACCAGCCTCCATACTCTTCCCCAAACCGACAAGAGACTAACCTGCGCCAAGGATGGTGTCTTTCCCTCCCATATCTCCATAACCATTTACCCAAGAGGGCTTGATTGAAAGGAACTAATCGTCTTATGCCAAGTCCACCCAGTTTCACAGGCTTGCAAACTTGCTCTCATCTAACAAGGTGATACTTGAACTCATCGCCCCTTCCTCCCCATAGGAAATCCCTTTGAATTTTTTCAATCCTATCCACAACGGAATAAGGGATTTGGAAAATAGAAAGAAAATAAGTGGGAAGGCTCGATAACGTACTCTTAATAAGAGTAACTTTACCCCCCTTGGATAAGTATTGCTTTTTCCATCCTGCCAATCTCTTCGCATACCTGTCAATCATTGAATCCTAACTCCCCACTATCCTTGAAGAGACCCCTAGGGGCAATCCTAAATAAGGAATAGGGAAAGAACTCACCCTGCATCCAAGAACTGCAGCTAAAGAGGAGATATTCTGAACATTCCCTATTGGGACAAGCACACTCTTAGCCACATTAACCTTTAGCCCAGAAACTGCCTGAAAACAAGTCAGGATACACCTCAAATATTGAAGTTGAGACACATCAGCATCACAAAAAACCAGGGTATGTTCAAGCAAACATTGGGCTAAAATAAAAATGGGTCCCACTAAGAGTTTTTAGTGGGTCCATAGTGGAACACATTCCTCTTCAAGAGAAGATGAGCGTGGTATATTTACTTGTTCAAAACCGTTGCAGGGTGAATGAGAAATTAAGTCAAAAAGTGAGGTCTTTGAGAAGCATTTGAAGGTGAAAATGGGTTTGCAGGAAAAGCTTGTCCGACATTGGAAGATGGTGAAAAACTAAGTGAGTATAAATACTCCTAATTTGTCACTTTGGGATCGGGCCCTTTGGGCACCCAAGTTTGTAAGAAGGGGAGGACCTAGGCAAGCTTGGGTCCAATCACACCACCACGCACGTGGGCGTGGCCCGCCTCACCCCAACTCAGCTTGGCGGGCCAGCCCAACTCTGGGCTTGGGCTTAGGCTTGGGCTGTCAATGAGATTATTCTTTTTATTTTAAAAAATAATTATCAACCAAAAAGGTGCACCCATTGACATGAATGTAGTCTGGGTTAGTGGTTAATCCGAATAGGTGCAAGCGGTTATGAACCAAATAGGTGCACCCATTGACTGATTGGATCGAACCAACGAGTCCAGTGTCTTTTGGGCTTAAAGGATGTAATTGGTATTGGTTCGGATGAAAGGTTGCACTTGGTGTCAGAGCGGGCCATTTGTCTATAAATAAACATGGGATGACATTTGCAAAATTCATCTTTCAGATTTCATTTCTCCCTCTCTCTTCAGTCAACTTGAACCAAGTCCAGTCGGTTCAAGCCATATGGTCATGGGTCCGTGCCTAATGGTTTGGACTTGGTCCACATCATATTTGTAGTGTTATTTTATTTCGTTTGAGTTCGAGTCAAATCGGAGAAAGTATTACACAATGTTTGGTTCGCCAATTCAATTGGCTCGTAGTGCTGCCACCAATTGAAGAAAGATCGTTGTATCCTAAGAGACAAGGCATTATTGAAACCGTACAACAAGGCGTAAATTGTCTTAAGGAGATAGAATTAAATTATATCCTCGATCTCCAGGTTCTATATAAGTTGTTTAATTATTAATTATTGTTTGCATATTAGGAGTTAATTATTTATTTTAATGTGCATATTAGATTTTTAATTAATTATCCTAATTGATTTATTTAGTATAATCATGTTTTATCTTAAATAGTAATACATGCAGCATATATTCTCCAACAATCTTAAGACAATTTATTCCTACTGTAGTTTTTATTATACGCTTTTATTTAAGATAAAAACAAGTGAAGATTACACTAATGGTTTAGACATAGTATAATTTAATAGTGGTTGTGTTGGGCATGATTCCTCTAGCCCTTGTTCTGATTTTACTTCTTCTCAGTTGGGTTCTTCCGGGGATGAATTAAGTGGGCTGTCTGACCCTGAGTTGGGGCTGCGTCCTCCATTAGGTGGTGCTATAGTGTCATCCGAGACTGCTGTGACAAATTTGTTGACAGTTTGTGTGGGCAAAGATTTTCGCATAACCCTCAGTGATGATGCGGCTTCTTTGTTAATCAAGGAATTGTAGAAACACAGGCATCAGAATGATCTCCCTACAGTTGATCCAGACCCTTTCACAGCTGTTCATGAAGATGGGGTGGAAAGTTCTAAGGACTGGAAGTCTTGGTGTGACGAGGCAGAGGAGGCTGGGGAAGGTTATGAGGGAGGGAGTAGGGATGACCAAGGTAGGCCTCTTGACATGATTTTGTGGGAGGAGGAGTGTCACTCTAATTTGGGGATTGTTGATCCTCTGGCGGTTATGCGTTCGGAGGGTTTGGATTGCAACGTTGATAGACAGGAGTATGGTGACTTAGGCAAGGAGTGGGTTTTGGAAAATATTGGGGTCACCAGTGAATTGTTGGGCGTTTCTTGTAATGATAACCGGGATCAGGCCTTAGCAATCCTTCAGGCCACGGTAGAGGGAAAGGAAGGGAGATGATTCAGTTTTCTAGAAGGAGGAATAGAAAAAAGAAGGGTCATTCTCCTTGGAAAGGGAAGAGGGAGCTGAGAAACCTTTGTTTTGATGTGAACTATGATAGGAAACTCGTGGGGGAGGTGGATGGAGGATGTGTTGAGGAGGGAGGGCGGAGGTTGGGGGAGGAGGGTGATTCTGTTTTTCCATGAAGCTACGAATCC